AGAATATGAGGGACTGGGTCAGTATGGAGAATATGAGGGACCGGGTCAGTATGGCGAATATGCATGCTGATGCTAGGGTGTGAAGGGTTGAAATATTAATGCAGCAATAAACAATCAAAAATACACACAAACCTCTGACCATTCTCTGTGTTTCACTGTGCATGGACATAAGCTCTGCCTTCTTTGCCTTACGAGGCCTGCTTGACTGTTAAAAATAACATGAAAACTGATTAAATCCTTGACATAATATTAGTTATTCTAAAGTGTATGTGGGCTAAACTTTTCTAGCAAACTTAACCTGACTGATTTATTTGAAGAAATCTTACCCTCATGAAAAAAAAGAAAAGATTTTGTAGTGTTTTATTGTAGTTAGATTCTGACAATCGATCACAATTTTTTTAAATTTAGATTTTGATGTAATTAGACCAGTTGTTGTAAATCCTTGTTCTATAATCCCCAGGGGTACATCCTAGTAATAGGCTAATGGGGAATGTACCACTAGATGGGGTAGCATTTCCACGGCTGGACTGACCATATTGATGAGCTGCAATTCCATAGAGTATTATTAATCCTGAGACCCTCCAACTGATACGTTATTTATTTAAAAATTTCATAAAGGACGTCAAAATCGAAAAAGGGAGCTGCTATTTCATTTATGGTGGAGACTCAAATTTTAGGCACTTTTACCCACAGAAGTCCTTCGAGTCCAATTCACATATGCAATTTGTAATGATTTGTTATCAGGTATTTTATTTCTATTTGATTACATCTAAGCTAGGTAGAAGGTACGCATTAACTAGTATCGGCTGTACAAGTTGCCTATTTTCATCGACCTACTTAAAGTTCGCAGATCCTTCATGAAGTCTAAAAAAGTTAACAAACAAGTTTGCTTATAAATTCAACTCAATTACCTTCTTTCTAGATTCTCGTCTTCGATGATTCTTCTCCTTTTCAGATGAATTTTCCTCCCCAGAATCACTGTTTGCAGCTTCTTCTTCCGAATTATCTTTTTCTTTACTGTCGATGTGATTGAGTGCGGGAGATTTTGGAGCACTTTCGTCGTCTGAAAAATTTCTATCTCGTCCGCCATCACTATCTTCGCCGAGCTCCGCGTCAAACAAGTCGTCGTTTGCAAATCGCTGTGCCATTTCGTGCGAAAACTGGTTAAATGTTTATTCATGAAATTCAACAAAATAAAAAAATTTAGGCTATCTAACCTGTAACACGTCGACAGCTCCTGGCATTTTGAATGTCTTTGGTACAATTAGGAATCTTTCTTCGCAAAAGCGAATTTCGCGCCAAATAGAAACCCCGAATGCTTTGTTCGTAATTCAATAAAATTTCGGAATGCACCGGAAAACTTCGGAAACTGTCGGAGATTAGGCACGGTTACCAAGCAAAACGCTCTCGACCTGTCTCTCTTGAGTTAAATCCTGACGAGAAGTGTTGTCGGTACTCTACTGGTCATATAAGATATATAAATTGGTTGGAAATACCGTTATTCACTCAGGATAATCAATCATTAAACCATGGATTCTTCTCTCATCAAGGAGTATAAATCCTTCAAAGCTAGAAGTATGAAACAACCGACTGTCGAATCGAAAAAATCGAAACCATCAGGTGGAGAACACAAGTCAAAACCCAAAGTCCCAAAGAGTAGTTATTTGCCAAAGGAATTGTTACAGCCAAAGAAACCGGTCAGCCCTTCTCCTGATTATAAAACACATGCTTTTAGAAGCAAGCACAAGTTTGCTGTGCTTGCGGCTATCGTGGACTTCATGAAACGGCGTCATCTTCAAAGAGAGTTTGATCCGTTGAGTTTGGATGAGATACTCGATCAAATTAAATACACTGACATCAACCAAGGTGACAAAGCTTGGTTGGGCAATGAAGCTTTGAAAGAAAACTCTAAACTCAATCATAAAGATGGTAAGTTTGTTTTCAAACCGAAGTTTCACATAAAGGACAAAAAACAGCTTCTGAGGCTTCTAGAGCGGCACGAAGATTCGGGTTTAGGCGGAATTCTTCTTGATGACATACGGGAAAGTTTGCCGGACGCTGATGAAGTCATAAAATCAGTTGGACGTCGGATCATGTTCATTACGCGCTCAACTGACAAAAAGGTTATCCTCTTCTTTAAGAATGACCAACATCAACTTAAAGTTGATGAGGAATTCCAGAAGCACTGGCGAGGAGTCTCAGTGGAAGGGATTGGTGAAAATGACATTGAAAAGTATCTTATTAAAGCTGGGATCACAACAATGCAGGACTCTGGAATCAGAAGGCCACAACAGACACAACAGAAGAGGAAAGCAAATCGGAAACGAAATTTCAAGAAACTGAACACTCATTTAGATGAGAGCACCTTGAAGGATTATTCAGAAAACTAAGTTAAATGTTACAGAAAGCTTCAAATTTTGAAATTTAAACTACATAGTTTGATTTCCTGGATGGCATGATTCAAGTTGTCTGGTTAGACCTA